AGACAGACCAGAGAGAGAGAGAGAGAGACCAGAGAGAGAGAGACAGAGAGAGAGAGGAGAGAGATACAGAGAGAGAGAGAGAGAGACAGAGAGAGAGAGAGAGAGAGAGCCAGAGAGAGAGAGCCAGAGAGAGAGAGCCAGAGAGAGAGAGCCAGAGAGCCAGAGAGAGAGAGAGAGAGAGAGAGAGAGAGAGAGAGAGAGAGAGAGAGAGAGAGAGAGAGAGAGAGAGAGAGAGAGAGAGAGAGAGAGAGAGAGAGAGAGAGAGACAGAGAGAGAGAGAAGAGAGATAGAGAGAGAGAGACAGAGAGAGAGAGAGAGAGAGAAAGAGAGAGAAAGAGACAGAGAGAGAGACAGAGAGACAGAGAGAGAGAGAGACAGAGAGACAGAGAGAGAGAGACAGAGAGAGAGAGAGAGATAGAGAGAGAGAGAGAGAGAGCCAGAGACATAGAGAGACAAGAGAGAGAGAGAGAGAGCCAGAGAGCCCTAGAGCCAGAGAGAGAGAGCCAGAGAGAGAGAGAGAGAGAGAGAGAGAGAGAGAGAGAGAGAGAGAGAGAGACAGAGAGAGAGAGACAGAGAGAGAGAGAGAGAGAGAGAGAGAGAGAGCCAGAGAGAGAGGGGAGGGGTGTGAGAGGGAGGGAGGGAGGGACAGGAAAAAGAGACACAAGTGAGCGTGAAGGTGTTAAGACCAGCCGGGATAACACGTCAAACAGTCATAACTCAAATATACCAACACGCTCATTCTCAGCTGCTCCCGCCACCCACGCACCCACACACAAGGTGAGTACACACAGCCCAGCGGCAGCCTTAGGACCAGGCTCTAGGGCCTGGTCCTAAGGGCCCGGGTTCCATTCCCGATCGAGGCACAAAAAAAATTGAACACTTTATTTCACCTGATGCCTCTGTTCACCTAGCAGAAAATAGGTATCTGGGACTTATACAGGAGAGAAAAAATATATAGCTGATATGATAAAAGAAAAATAGGTCTGATTCAGTGAGGTTAGAAAGGCGGGGTCCAAGAGCTAACAACTCGATCCTGCAGGTACAAACGGTAAAAAGCAAGCACCCGGCCGCGCGCGCACACGCCAGCACATCAGGCAACCCCCGCCCCACGCGCTACACTAAAATTAAACCTGTATCAATGTGAGAGCTTCAAGACCCGGCCGGATGCAGATATCCTGCCTCTACTGAAGGCATTTCTGGCTACAACACCTACTCCAAGCCTACAGTTATGTACCCCCCCCCCCCCCCCCCCGGGCCTCAGGCCTGGCAGGGCCTGACAGCTGATCGGACAGCGCTTCGGATTCGTAGTCCTGAGGTTCCCGGTTCGATCACTGGTGGAGGCGGAAACAAATGGGCAAAGTTTCTTTCACCCTAATGCCTCTTTTCATCTAGCAGTAAAAAGGTACCTGGGACTTAGCTACTACGGGCTGCTTCCTGGGGGTGTGTAACAAAAGGGAGGCCTGGGTCGAGGACCGGGCCGCGGGGACGTTAAGCCCCGAAATCATCTCAAGATAGAGATAATCCAGACTTACAGCACCGCTCCTGTGCCAGGTAAGTCCACTACGGGCTCACCATATCCCGTGCTACTTGGAACTTTTTATTCCAAATAGCAGAATCTAAAACAAAACAACATCTCAAGATAACCCCCCCCCTGAAGTGGTAGGGGCGGGAGGGGGGGGGCGGAATTGTAACTAAAGGGGGGGTGTAAATTGTAATTAGGGGGTGGGGGAAGAGGCGAAGGAGGGAAGAGGTAGATAGACAAAAAGGGGTTAAGAAAGAATTAATGAAAATTCTTCTTGACCCTCGACTTCTAAGCGAAATCGAGAAACTAAAGTGACGAAAGTAATATAAGTAAAATACAGCAAAACATTAATGGTATAAGCAGGGTGCCGGAAGTATTTTAGAATGAACTAACAACAGTAATTCCTTAAGAGCGAGTGGAACTGACAAGAACTGTCTTCATATCAACCCCCCCCCTGGTCCACGGTTAGGTTCCTCACCACAATCAATATTTATAGAAAGCCCCACCAGCATAAGTACTACTTATACTACAGATAAGGGGCATAACTGGCCGACCCCTCGCTGTGTTCAAGAGAGAACTCGATAAACACCCCCCAAAGAATACCCGATCAACCAGACTGTGACTCATACGTCAGGCTGCGAGCAGCCGCGTCCAGCAGCCAGGATGACCGGTCCAACAACGAGGAGGCCTGGGCGATGACCGGGCCGCGGGGACGCTAAGCCCCGAAACCAAGACAAGGTAACCAGAAGGTAAGCATGAACCTTTACACACCAGTAATGAATGGTACAGGTGAGGCAGAGCACTGAAGGCCAGGTGCATGGGTCACCACCCAACCCGTTCTCGCAAATTCGTATAGTCAATATTGACTTATTAACTACGTGCATATGTGATACACTGAACATAATAGATACCCTTAAAAAGCTTCATAGAAAACACCGACCTTACCTAACCTTGTTAGTATCTTAAGATAAGTATCTTATTGCTTCACAATTACAATTATTACTTAACCTATACCTATAATAGGTTAAGTAGCAATTGTAATTACGAAGCTATAAGATGCTTATCTTAAGATACTAACAAGGTTAGGTAAGGTCGGTGTTTTCTATGAAGCTTTTTAAGGGTATCTATTATGTTTAGTATGTCACCTATGCACTTATTTAATAAGTCAATATTGACTTTACGAATTTGCGACCACCGTGGCCAGCGTTGCTGCCTCCAGTTTACCTGGAGTCGGTTCCTAGAGTTGTTCTCCCCAAGCGCTTGTCTTCTGATAGCTGGATCTAACAGGTTGTTGTTTGGAGCGGCCTGCTAGGTACGTTTTTAGTGACTTCTTGTCAACTACAAATCTCCCCTTATTATAGGCCCTGAACAGGCCTAAAATATGTAATTTCCTTATCATATACGACGGTGACGCATGTGATAAGTTATATGATAAGTTATATACAAACGCATTTTGATTTAAATCAAAATGAACAATAGATGTAGAGACACGATAACTTTGTTCAGTGGGCACTGAAGACTAGGCCATAAGCACCGTTAAGAGTACTAGCAGTAAGTAGTCCGTGGCGAAGCTGCTTCAGCCAGTATACCCAACAGCAGAATATATGAGGCCGGGCTTGGTTCACCAGGCTTGCTGCTGCTCATCACTCACAGCGGCCTCGAATTTAGCCACGCGGGACGACGTGCACTCGTCACCTTGCCTCGTCACTCGCTCCTCTTACGGTACTAGCCTAAGGTCTTACGGGGAGGCAGAAGGTTACTCTCCGTGGGACATCTGTGGAGGAGTGGCGGCGCATGTCGTCGTCGCCTACACCGTAAACACACTGCTACACCGGCCGGCGCCGCAGGAAGCCCTTATCTCCCGTCTGCTGGCCCGGGAGAACTCACTACGTGGCCCTAGTGTACAGCCTCGCTCCCTTCCCTCTACACTTGCTAAGGCCCACACGTGATGCCAGGCCCTGCTCCTCTCAGCTCACCCTAACCTATATCACATTTTCACTTGGTTTGCATCGTCGGAATTAATTTATAAATTTAATAATTATCCGAAATAACAGTTTATATATCGCCTTAGACACCTATCTATAAAAAATTATTATTATTATTATTATTATTATTATTATTCCACACTAACCTATATATATAGTATACTTTTAGACACCACACCCACCGGGGGACTCGAACACTGGCCATCAAACTTCAAACTTGTGGTTTATAAGCAAGTCTGTGCATTAAGCATTAGCACCGAGTTCTCCCATATAACAGGGCTTGATGAAAAACGCGAGAGATTCCTCACTGTCTCATTGCCTGGAGAGATGGGATATCTGGTTAGTTAAATACCCTGGAATTCCCACCTCTTTAGGGCTCTGAAGTATGGTGTAGTGGATACAAGTGCGTACCTGCCATCTTGATGGCCAGTGTTCGAGTCCCCTGGTGGGTGTGAGTGTCTAAAAGTTCTATACTTCAAACTTGTGGTTTATAAGCAAGCCTATGCACATAGTCTTTACAAGGTATTATATAAATGACACAATTATCACTACGAGGGCTGTTTCTAACTAATAGCTTACCAACAGTAATTAGACGATCAATAGTTAGAAACAGCCCTCATAGTGATAATTGTGTCATTTATAAAAATACCTTGTAAAGACTGCAATAGGTTCTATGTTGTGCAAACATCTAAAGATTTGAAATGTAGAATTTTGCAACATAAATACTCTGCAAGACATGGCCAATTGTCTAATGCTTTGTTTGTTCATTTGTCAGAAAATGCTCACCAAATTGATTGGGAGATGGCTTCTTCAATAACGAATTGTAAAATCACTTATAACAGGAACATAATTGAATCTGCTTTAATACAGATTACAAAAGGAAATAATTTGAACATTAGCAGTGGTTTATATAACTTAGATCCATTTTTGATCAATTAAAGGGTGATTTGAGTAAATTCATTGATACACATTTGACTAATTCATTGTAAATATTTACTATCTTATGCTATTATTATCCATGTGTGGGCCTATGTGTGGGTATAAATAGGAACTGCATCGTATGGGTCAATAGGCCTTCTGCAGTATCCACCTAATTCCCATTCATTTTTCATTATACCTCACCTCACTTCACCATCACTCTCCTGCCTATATATATGTCCAATACTTGACCGGTAAAACACGGGAGACATCTCCCGTCACGCAGGGTGCAGTCGCACCTTCACAGATCTCCAGTATCGGCTATTGATACTGGTAATGGCTCAAAAGGGCCACCATTTACGGGCTATTCATGCCCGTGCCACCTTTTGGGCGACTTAATCTTCATCAATCAATCGACCGGTAAATCAGTACCACTTACGGGCTATTCATGCCCGTGCCACCTCTTGGGTGGCTTAATCTTTATCAATCAATCAATCTGTAAATCATTCCTTCTGAAGATGTATTAATATACGAAAGTACTTAAGGAAATATATTCAAAGGGCAATTTTACTTACATTTTTGCCACCTTCTTCCCCCTCTGGAGAAGGCCTTTGGTTTTCCTTGTTGTCTCCCAGTCTTTTCCTGGGTGGTACTGGAGGTGGGGGTTCATCAGAGGACGGCGTGGAAGCAGATGACATAGTTGCCGTTGTAACAGACATTGACATCGAGTCGCCATCTTCCGAGGGAGAAGAAACGGATGCCATTTGGTGAATGGGAAGGCTTTTTGGACGGGAGGCTGACAAGGGCACCAATGCTGGAGTACTGTAAGCTGCAAATGGTACTGGAGAGGGCTGTGCACCCGAGGATCCTCCATACGTTGACAAGCTGCTTGATGAAGTTGACAGAGAACTGGGAGGACGGACCATCTGTGGTGCAGGAGGAATCCCCAGATCAGCTGGCTCATCATAGGGGTACCGCACCTCACCAAATAGTGGTTCCGATGGTTGTGGTGGTGGTGGGTACCTCGGCTCCCCTGCAGAAGGGTACCGTGATTCTCCAGGTGAATACAAAGGCAGCTCCCCTGAATATCTTGGTTCACCATTTCCCTGATGGCGTCCATTAAAATGTGGGGGATCAAATCTTCTATCACCAAATTTCAGATCCTCCTGTGATGAATAAATCTGATGAGTTGGTGTTGCTACAGGTGGAGGTCTATAAGGAGGAGGAGCACGATATGGAGGAGTTATCCTGGAAGGAAGTGGAGGTGCAGGAATCATCATGGGGCTACAAGGCTGAGGGCTGTAAGCTGCACTATGCTGAGGTGAGCTAAACATGTGGAACTGGCTGGGACTGCTGAAGGTGACTCCTGCAGGTGAACTGCCGGGGCTGAGGTATTCACATTCAGAAAGTGGTGTGCCAACTCTGTATTTTCTTTTAAGAACTAGATACTTCTCACCTCCTTCTTGACTGATATTAGCAAGTGTGTTAACATATTGCTTAAACTTGTTCCTGGCAATTTCTGAAAGAAAATTTAAAACGGTTGATATAATACCTTGCAAAAACTAGCATATCATAGCATAAGTATACATATAAAACATATCATAGAAGATTATATATAAATATATACTACAGATTCTCTTCATCGAGAAAAGGGTCATACCAAACACAACCAAAGGTATAAATATATTACACACACACACAGTGTGTGTGTGTGTGTGTATTTTTTCAGTGTCAGTAGTTAACAAATGGTATGCATTAGGCAGTGATGTGGTGGAGGCTGACTCCATACACAGTTTCAAATGTATATATGATAGAGCCCAGTAGGCTCAGGAATCTATACACCTGTTGATTGACGGTTGAGAGGCGGGACCAAAGAGCCAGAGCTCAACCCCTGCAAGCACAACTAGGTAAGTACAATTAGGTAAGCGCACACACACACACACACACAGGCGGGATCCAAGAGTCGATGCTCAATCCTGCAGACACAAATAGGTGAGTACACACGCGCAAAAACACACAAGGAGGGGGGGGGCTCGCGGCTGAGTAGACAGCGACCGGGTGTTATAGTCCTAAGGGTTCAATTCCCGGCCAAGGAAGAAACAAATGGTCAGTTTCTTTCACCCTGATGCACCTATTCACCTAGTAGAAAATAGGTACCTGGGACTTAGATAGCTGCTATGGATCTCTTCCTGGGGATGTACTCACCTAGTTGTACTTGCTGGAGTTTAGCTCTGGCTCTTTGGTCCCGCCTCTCAACTATCAATCAACTGGTGTACAGATTCCTGAGCACGCCTACATGCACACATTTTGTGTGTGAGTGTGTGTGAGTGTGTGTGTGTGTGTGTGTGTGTGCATATGTTACAAATATATGTAGTAGACATAATAGATGAAAAATAAATTGGTTGGAAAGGCAGGGTCCAAGAGCTAATAACTCGACTCTGCAGACACAAATAGTAAATACGGTATATTGTACATGAAAATCTAAATCTAAATTAGAATGTTGGAAGCCGGGTACTGGAGGGAGAATCTCACCCATCCTTACACCCTGATTCTTGTCGAGTACATGTACTCTACACTCCTGTAGAGTACATGTACAGTGGGGCAGGGTTGGCACAAGTGAAGCAAGTGCCACTTGACGCAGTCTCAATGAGAACCCCCATAACTATTCTTCAAATATCACATTAAAAAAATGTGATATATCTCGTTAACATTCTGTCATACTTTGCCTGCAGTAGTAGTATTGCAGACATTAGGTACTGATGAACTCCTCCTCACTTGGTCCATCTCCACACCCGTCCTTCTGCTTGCCAACCCTCAACACACACACACATTGTGAGGTCACTGCGCTAGGAGAGGGGAAAGTAAACCAGGCAGCCTTGGAAGGGTTCGAAATTACGAGAGAGGAGGTCAAGAAACACCTGTTGGATCTGGATGTGAGAAAGGCTGTTGGTCCAGACGAGATATCACCATGGATACTGAAAGAGTGTGGAGAGCCACTTTGCTTGTCACTCTCCATAGTGTATAGTAGATCACTGGAGACGGGAGACCTACCAGAAATATGGAAGGCGGCTAATGTGGTCCCAATATACAAAAAGGGTGACAGACAAAAGGCACTGAACTACAGGCCAGTGTCCTTAACTTGTATACCATGCAAAGTGAGAGAGAAGAGCGTGAGAAAAAATCTAATAACACATCTGGAGAGAAGGGACTTCGTGACAAATCGCCAACATGGGTTCAGGGAGGGTAAATCTTGCCTTACTGGCTTAATAGAATTCTATGATCAGGTGACAAAGATTAAGCAAGAAAAAGAAGGCTGGGCGGATTGCATTTTTTTTGACTGTCGGAAAGCCTTTGACACAGTCCCCCATAAGAGGCTGATACATAAGCTAGAGAGACAGGCAGGAGTAACTGGTAAAGTGCGCCAGTGGATAAGGATATACCTACGCAATAGGAAGCAGAGAGTTATAGTGAGGGGTGAGACCTCAGAATGGTGGGAAGTCACCAGTGGAGTCCCACAGGGCTAGGTACTCGATCCTATCTTGTTTTTGATATATGTAAATGATCTCTTCATTAGACTGACATTATTACCTTAAGTTTGAATTATTTTTACATTATTATTTTCAAAAAGCTCAACTGTTTGGATCCCAAGTTCGATTCCTGGATGTGGAAAGAGATTTCAGAATGCTGCTTTACACTTGATACTGCTTCCTTCAATACTGTTAAATTGTTCTCTATTAGTTAATTTCATTAAAAAACTAACATTGAGAAGATCTGGACACTGACTAATTAGGGCAGACTCAATCAAATTCCGTTCCACAAAATCACTACAACTGCTAATGCTTTCTGCCCCATCACAATTAATAGTGTGATCACACAAACTTGTGTGTAGATACAAAGCTGTGTCACGTTTGGGCAGTTCTTATACTATAAGCATGTTGGGACATACGTAATTGTAAGGATTTTCTTGTTTGTCCAAGGTATGTACAAACTTGACCCAGTTTTAAGTTACAATATTGCACAACAGTTTAAGAAGAAACTATGATAGGGAGAGTTACATTGTCTCATAATAATATTATATTTATATATTTTATGTGGGTTCAATGAGGCTTTTTCTTTAAGCTTTTATTCTTACCGCTTAAATCCTTCTAACCACTCTTAAGCTATTCTATACCATTTTCTGGTTAATTCTTTTCCCAGGAGATAGTGGTCAGGATCTAGTGTCTGTCTCCACTCTTCCTTTGTGATTTTTTCAGTCGGGTGTTGACAAAGGCCCAGATCGGCCGAAATGTTCATCTCTCTTTTCCATTTCTCTGTGGATTTTCCGCATACAAATGATCAGTGTTTCGTGATCATCAATTGCATATAAATAAATAAATACAAATTAGTTACATAAAAAAAAATTATAATTTTTACAATAGCATATTATCACACCTGGCACATACTGACTAATTCCCAGAGTTTGAGAATAATTTGTATTTGTTAATTCTCTTAAATTTTCTGTTCATATTAATTTCATAACCATAATAATTATAAATATTTTGATCAAGTCTCTTGCTACAACTTTTATAAGTAGATGCCCATTGCTTTTTCATTAATAATTTCATTTTCAGGCAGCAGGACTATAGTCTTCATGTATGGCAGCCTGAGGCACTGACATTCTTCAGTGCCTATTTTGAGACATTAGCCATTGTTTGTCTTCAATGTCAGAAAGTAACATCCCAGACATATAATTTCCCAATGTGAAAATTTTGTCTTTATTCAACATGCAAATGCAATCACGGTAAAGGCGCTTGTCACTGAACACCTGTAGCTAAAAACATCTACATCTGTATTTGTGGATAAAAATAATCTCAAAGTATTTCTGGAGTTCTTAAATTATACAGTAATTACATAATTATATACTGTACTAAAAATATCTAAAACTTAACTGGTAATAATTTTGAACTTGTTATATTTCGTATCCAAGTTTCTATTCATGCTTCTTACAACAACAACAAATACTGTATCTTTAAATATAGGAGGTTATATTTTATATTTTTGTATTTTGCTGTAAAATAACAAGGATAAACACCTAGTGAAGTGCATTAAGGAAGGAAAAAAAGTAGCAAGAGAATCAGTGTCAAGAGAAGCCAAGTGTCAGTTCTGGACCATCAAAATTAACAGTCTCAAAATCAATTGAAAACAACTAAGCATACTATGGGGAGCCGGTCGGCCGAGCGGACAGCACGCGGGACTTGTGATCCTGTGGTCCTGGGTTCGATCCCAGGCGCCGGCGAGAAACAATGGGCAGAGTTTCTTTCACCCTATGCCCCTGTTACCTAGCAGTAAAATAGGTACCTGGGTGTTAGTCAGCTGTCACGGGCTGCTTCCTGGGGGTGGAGGCCTGGTCGAGGACCGGGCCGCGGGGACACTAAAAAGCCCCGAAATCATCTCAAGATAACCTCAAGATACTAACACACACAATGCTAATCAATTGAAAACAACTAAGCATACTAACACACACAATGCTAATCAATTGAAAACAACTAAGCATACTAACACACACAATGCTACTTTGTAAATAAATATCACATCTTAACACTTGCGAATTCCTTCCCCCTTCAAGAAAAAAAAAATAGAATGTAACAAAATGCCTCTTTTTAATAGGGCCTTATTGGTCCCCTGATGAGAGCTGAGCTACCTCACTGAGGTAACTCTGCACTACAGTCGTATCAGCCTTGGGAATTTTTTATGGCTTACTGGGGACCAGAACCAAAACTTGGGCCCCTCCCCCCTCCCAAGAGTGGTAAGGAGTAGAGGCCTGTCACCCCTCACTCAGAAAATATCCAGAAAACCAGCCAAGCAATACAGACAGCTGCAAGATTCACAGAAAGCAAAGCACTGAAATAGCCAAATGACTTTACAAAAGAATCACTCAAAAGCTATGTTAGACCCTAGTTATACATGACCACCAACAGATGGTATCACTACTAGGAAGCCCAGCTTCCACATCACCATAGCATTAGTCTGAAGCTGAAGGATCACGAATTGACACACCTGGTATGGGGAAAAGAACTGGGACCCCATGAAGTCACAGAAGCCCTACCAGAAAGCCATTTCATTACTTTTAACTCTGATTTTCAGCAACTGGTGGTGGCTCTCTGAAGCTAACAACAGTAGAAGGATAAGACGGTCCACTTTGAAGAAATAGGATGGAAATGAAAGACCATTTGCGAAAACATCGCACACAGCCCATGAATTAACTAAAAATCCTGAAGCTGAGCTACCCACAGAGTCCAGCCCCAAAAGGGCAAGGACATCAGTGACAGGAATGAGGTTATAATGTAAGCCAGAAGCTCCCAGGGGTGTTGCCACCTGTTGGTGGCCAACCCTAACTAGAGGGGGTTTGACCTAGCATGATTTCTGTGAACCTTGCCCTTTTCTGCATTTCTTCACCAAACTTTTGGATGTTTTCTCAGTGAGGGTGATTGTAACAATCCTGCTCCCTGTGCCTCTGTGAGGGGGGGGGATACCAGGTTT